GAGGGCGGGTGGGGAGGCTGAGGCCAGCAGGCCCCCTCGGAGGGGGCAGGGAGGGCGGGTGGGGAGGCTGAGGCCCAGGGCCCCCTCGGAGGAGGAGAGGGAGGGCGGGTGGGGAGGCTGAGGCCCAGGGCCCCCTCGGAGGGGGCAGGGAGGGCGGGTGGGGAGGCTGAGGCCCAGGGCCCCCTGGGAGGGGGGAGGGAGGCTGAGGTGGGGAGGCTGAGGCCCAGGGCCCCCTGGGAGGGAGACAGGGAGGGCGCGGTGGGGAGGCTGAGGCCCAGGGCTTGGAGGGAGCAGATGCCCTCATGCATGGCTCTGCAGGTGGGCTCGTGCCTCAGCCCGCTGGGTGATTCATCCCCACGGCGGCCCTGGGTGGTGGGCACACCTGCCCCGTTTCTCGGGGGACCTGGGTCCTGGAGGTGCCCGAACCACACTGTCAGAAAGGGCAGAGCCAAGCTCTCCCCAGCCTTGGGGCCCCACGACCAGGGATTTGGGATCCCTGAAGGGCCCCGGTGGGGTGGGGTCTGCCCACTCTGGGTAGAGGTCTTGACCTCAGTGGGTGGCCAGGACACGGCTATCCAAATACCTGCCTTCAAAACTATCACAAAGGCCAGGCGTGATGGCTCAGGCCTGCAGTCCCGGCAATTTGAGAGGCCGAGGCAGGAGGATCGCCTGAGCCCAGGAGTTAGAGGCTGCAGTGAGCTGTAATGACACCACTGCCCTCCAGCCTGGGTGACAGAGTGAGACCCTGACACAAAAAAAAAGAAAAAAGAAATCCAGTCTTTTGTCTTGAACTTTTAAAGGAAAGAAAAAAAATAATTTGTCTAGTGGCTTTTAAGATTTTTCTCTTCATTCTCCTCGTCTCTAGCATGTCTACAAGCTGACCCAGATGCGTGGCGGCCTGTTCCATGGTAGGAGTTGGGCTCAGCTGAGGCTGCCATCGGGCCTTCATAATGATTGTGAGTCACCACAATCGCAATTAAGTCCTTCGTGCCAAGACCAACTAGAATCAATTATTTTACACGCATCTAAGAATCTTCATAAACATAGTGTTCATTCATCACGTTCTTGCTCTAGGCTGGGAGTGCATTTTGAATCTAAACTTCATGCACTTAAATTCTGGAAGCTTCTTCACTGTCACCCCTTCAAATCTTGCTTCTCTGCTCCCCTCTCCAGCCTGTTCTTTGAGGACTCCTCTTCATCGTGTGTTGGAGCTTCTCACCGACCCTCCGCGTCTCTTACTGGGTGACTGTGTGTATGTGCGCACGCCTGTGCACGCTTACTTAAACTTTCTCTCTCTGTCTCTTTTGCATTCTGGGAAAATTCCTCAGTTCTGTCGTCTACTTCACTAATTCTCTCTTCAACTGTGTTCTTGATCTTATCCCACCTTTCATATCTTTTGCCTCAGGGACTCTATTTTTCATTAACAAGATTTGCCATCTTCACACCTATCTGTTCTTGTTGTTATCTGCCAGTTGGATTTCATATTTATTTATTTTAACGGATGTGGTTCCTTCCCTTATCTCTTTGGCCATCACAGACAGATTACTTAAGACTTTTTATTAGATGTTTCCATAAATTTAACTTCATCTGGAATACATTAATAGTCATGTTCTGGGTTTTGGAGTTTGTTGCTTATTTTTTTAATTAAGGTAAAATTCACATAATGTAAAATTAATCATTTTTAAATGTACAATTTAGTGGTATTTGATACACTCACAATGGTGTGCAACTGTGCCTGTTTCTAGACATGTAAAATCTTGTGCTTTTGGATTTGGGCTCACAGACTCACTTTGAGGGGTTAGTTGCTGAATCAAGATATGGGAAATCAATTCTCTGACAGCCAACTCACAGAATGACCTTGACTGACCAGGCTGCTGAAAAATCAATGCTCCGAACGATCCGTTTACCCGAAACTCCACACAAACACTTTAAACCCGGTCTGGGCAGGTGGCTGCAGCCATTTGCCAGGAAGGGCAGGAACAGGGGCAGGAATTCCAGCCAGGCACCTGCGGCCAGGGTGGAGGGCACATTCAGAAGAAAAGACTCTGGTCGGGCTGGACCAGTGCATGTTGGGAAAGCGGCCGGCACAAAGCGGCGGGAAAGAGAAGCCTTTGGGAACATTCTCAGTCACTCACCCAGTAGACCAGCCGTGGGTCAGCTTGGGGCCGCCCAGCTCTGGCCACATGGATTCTTAGCAAACCGATCTCGTGCGGAAGCCCGAGTGGAGAGAAGTCAAGGATGTGGCGGCATCAGCTTCCCGCCTCCGCCAGCTGTGCGGCCTTCAGCGAGTCGCTTGGCCTCCCTGCCTCAGTTTCCTCCTCAAGGTGGTCGTGCGGCTTAAAGGAGGTCACGTAAGTGCTGGCAGAGGTGAGGACACTCCTGGCGGGAGAGCTCCCGGGTTTCTTAGATCGCATCCTCGAGGGCCCACGTCACGGCGATCACGTGGCGACGTGCACCGTGCTCGGCCTGTGATTCCTGACGCCGGCTCTGAGCTCCAGGGTGGCTCTCTCGTCCCCTTGCCTTCCTCTGGGGCTGCTGTAACGTCAGGCCGCAGACCGGGGGGCTTGTTTCCGCCAGGCCTGGAGGCCGCAGGCCCGAGAGCAGAGCCAGCAGGGCCGGGGCTGGGAGTCCTGCCTCGTGGCTGCACATGGCCGTCGTCTCGCCGTGTCCCCACCGTGGAAGGGGTGCAGGGTCTCTCTGGGGCGTCCGTCACAGACCCCCTCTGTTTGGGCTCTGTGTCACCTCTGGTCACCTCTCGAAGGCCCCAGCTCCTGATGCTGTCACCTGCAGGGCGAGGGCCTTACCTTATGAATTTGGGGGACACAAGCGTTCAGAGATTGGCGCCTGTCACCGTGGATCCCCAAGGCTGCCGACACACACGGGGACAGGAAGGTTCCAGAGCCTGGGAAAAGCTCTGCTCACAGACCCAGCCCTGCCCTTTGAACCCCGAGTGTGGTCAGGAGCTGGTGCATCCTTCAAAACTCAGCCCTGGGGCCGCCGAGAGACCGGGAAACCCACACAGCCGCCACCTGTCTCCCCTGTCCAGCGCCCCGACCTGCAGGTGTCCCTGCCCCGCGGCACGCCAGCCCCGCCTCCCCTTCCTGGTGGGGCCACTCCCACCTGTGGCCGGTCACTGCCTGGCGGTGCCGGGCGGGTGCTCCTCGGAACTGGCTGCGCTGGCACTGCCTGCTCCAGGCCTCTCCGCGCCGGGGCCGGGCCGGGCCTGGCGCCTGCAGCTCCTGCCACCACGGCCCTCCCGCCCGGCCCTCCGCTGCTGAAGCCAACACCACGACATCGCAGAGCCACTTCGCAGCAGGTGACACACACCCCACAGTGACGCACACCTGGCACCAGGCACACCCAACGCCAACCCGGTTACTCCTCGCCCTGCTCCTGGCCCGTCCGGCCTGAACACCCACCCCCTTTGCAGAGCCAGCCTGCGCCAGCCCCCTCGGGCTTCCTGGGGTCCCCTCCAGGCAAGCCCCCTGCATCCCAGTCCTGCCTCAGCCCTGCTTCCAGGGGACACACACCCTGGACACGCAGCGCAGCGTGCCTCTGCCGACGGTGTGGAAAGGCCCGGAGGGAGCACACAGCGGGGACAGTGGCCGCCTCTGGGGCAGGCACCGGCAGGGCCTCACTCCTCACACCTCCTTCGGCTGCTCCTGTCCCCTTGAGCCTTGTGCCCTGGGCACATCCAATCTCTCCAGAATCCAAGGCTTTGATAAAAGTGACCACATCCGAGACTGCCCAAGAGAGGCGGAAACACACGCCCGCTGTCCGCGGGAGGCTTGCACAGGGCGGCCGTGAGATGTCCGGCTATTGACTCACGATGGCCAGAGAGCAGGCGGGCCGGCGCCCACCACTGCTGGACGGACGGACACGACACGGAGGAAGGAAGCACTGACACACGCACGCTGTGACACGGACAGACACCAGAAGCATGAGGCTCAGTGACAGAAGCCAGACGCCAAGGCCACGTCCCGTGAGGTTCCGCCCCGGTCTGTGCCGTGTCAGTGCGGGCCGCTCTGCGGCGAGAAGCCACCGCGGCTGCCAGGGCCCAGAGAGGAGCGGGGCTTGGCGGGCACGGGCGCGGGGCTTCTTTCCGGAAGGGCGGGATGGTGACGGCCACGCGGCTCAGTATAGTCACTCAAAATCACTGAATTATGCACCCAAAAGAGGTGAATTTTAGGGTCTATGAATTCTAACTCAATAAAGTTGTTTTAAAAACCAAGACCAGGCCGGGCGCGGTGGCTCACGCCTGTCATCCTAGCACTCTGGGAGGCCGAGGCGGGCGGATTGCTAGAGGTCAGGAGTTCGAAACCAGCCTGAGCAAGACCCCATCTCTACTAAAAATATAAAGAAATTAATGAACCAACTAAAAATATATATACAAAAAATCAGCTGGGCACGGTGGCGCATGCCTGTAGTCCCAGCTACTCGGGAGGCTGAGGCAGGAGGATCACTTGAGCCCAGGAGTTAGAGGTTGCTGTGAGCTAGGCTGACACCACGGCACTCACTCTAGCCTGGGCAAGAATGAGACTCTGCCTCAAAAAAAAAAAAAAAAATATAATATATATTATATATATATATAATAATTTAAAAAACCCAAGACCAACACAAAAGGTGAGTAATACCCCCAGGCCCAGGTGGGCAGGGCCCTAGCTGGAGGCAGGGGCTGGTGACCCAGCGTGGCTGCCTTCCCGCCGTGCTCGGCCCCAGCGCCTGACAGCCGTGCCTGGAGGTCACCCAGCCTCTACCTGGGACATGGCGGGGCGGCCACAGCCCTCTCTCCCCAGCTTCGTTTCTGGAACTCCAACAAGAGAAACTTGAGTAAACAAACACAAGAGGCGGCCAGGCGGGCAGCACCCACGTGGCCCTGGCTGCGCGGACGTGCCCGGCGGTGCCCTGCGCGGGCTCCCTGTCCCGCGGGCTCCCGATGGCTGTGACGCCAGCGATAGGGCCGCACGTCGTCCCGCACAGGTGGGGAGGGGACCGCCAAGGCCACCGCCTGGGGGTGGCGGGGACCCAGGAAACACCCATCCCCCGTTTTACCACAAGGACGCCAGGAGCCCCCAAGTCCTGGCCTCCCTCCGCCTGCCGTCCCCCGCAGGGAGCCAGCGCTGTCCCCGACCCCCACGCAGCCCACACAGGGACCCTCAGCAAACAGGGCTGACAGTGACGGCGAGCCAGCACAAGCGCGGGGAATGACACGCCGTGCCCTGCGTCAACGCGTTATCCATTAAACTCAGTGTAAGAACAAAGGGAACTGTGGAAAGCAGTTTGCTGAGCCATTTAAGGCTTACCGGTGTAACTAAATCCCCTCGAACCATTAAAGCCGTGATCAGGGATTTGGGCTGAGTGATGCTTGTGCAGAACAGCAGACGGGACACACACAAAGGCAATTATCACCGAAATCACGGCGACAGGCACACTGAAACAGGTTCTAGAGCACCAGCGTTGACTTCACTTTTTTTTTTAATTTTTTTTATTTTTTATTTTTTTCTTTTTACCAAGGCTACCAGTGTGCTAGACTTCACTTTTTTATTTGTTTCTATGCTTCTTCTTCAACCGCCCCGGCTTCTGCCGCTGCCTGTTGTGAAGTGTGACGTCTTCTGGAGTCTAAGTCACATCTCGGTGACGCCCACCGGGGTGCAGGAGCCCCTGCGACCCAAAGGAAAATGTCGCCTGCTGGGACCGAGGCCGATGACGGGATGAATAATCCGCCCACTGCTCGGCTGCGTTTTGACTTTTCGGGAGGGAACATACAAAATAGGCTCACATCAAGAGAAGCATGCAGCAAACACCCTGTGCCGGTCACCCCTGCGGCCACAGCACGGTGACGGATGAGCAACGGCCGCCCCGCCCAGCCCCACGGCCGCCCACGCCCAGCTCCACCGGGACCCCGAGACACAAATCCCCCGTTCAACCGCCAACGGGGCAGGAGCGTCTCTAAGTGACAGCTGTTTAAAAAAGGAATCACAATCCCGTCATCATACCCCAAAACAAAATCAATAATTCCTCGATACCATCGAAGTTCCCGACTCGCTGTGTCCGGACCAGGTCTGCGTGCTGGTCTGGCAGCTACGTCTTTTTCTAACCAATAGACTCTGATTCCTTCTTTTCTTTCAGAGGCTTTGCTGAGGACAGCAGGTGTCGGCCCTGTCCCCCCGGCCTGTGTGGCGGGGACACCCTCCTGGTGTGGCTCGGTGTGTCCCTCTGTCCCCTGTGCCCTGGTAAACCAGGGCTCGTGCCGGGTGGCAGAGCAGGGCTGTGTGCACCCCGGGACGTCCCGTACGGAGGGGCGCAGGGTCTGGCTGTCCCTCCCTTGCGACAGACCGACTGGGCTCCAGACGGGGTCGGCTGGCCCATCCCCACGAGGGTCCCGGCGGCCTCACAGCCCCTCGCTGCAGCAGGGACCGCCGCCGCCTCTGCATCGCACTGGAAGCTGCAGACCGGCCGTATTCAATCCATCCCTCAGTCCATAGCTGACTGTCTGTGACGAGCCTTCCGCCCGCAACTCTGCACTCGCCAGCACTCGCAGGATGAGCCTTGATCAGGTCCCCTGTCGCTTCTCAGAATAACGAGCCGCTTCCCGGCATCCTCCAGAGAGGAGGAGTCAATTAACTAATTTTTAAGGAATATTCAGGGCGGCGAGCAATGGTGAGGGCTACGAAGCGGGAAGTGGGGCAACGCCGGATGTGCACAGCCCCCAGGCCACCGAAGGGATCCAGGGAGACCTGAACGCAGTGAGGGCGTGAGCCTCCTCCCAGGAAGGGACCCTCACATGCAGGGTCCTGAGGCTGGCGTGAGCTCCGTGTGCACCGGCTGGGCGGTCAGGGAAGCACAGTGGCGGCTGCAGAGCTCGGTCCCTGCAGCCCAGAGCAAGTTCGAATCAGAAAGCACCCTTCCGAGTGCACCTGGGGAGGGCTGCAAAGCCCCGGGGAGCTCGTGCGCAGCCCTCGGTCCGGCTTACCTGAACAGACCACTCAGAGAGACCCTGTAGGCAGCAGGAGGAGGCCAGAATGGTCCGCACGGTGATGTGTTCGAGTCGGAGACACCAGTCTAAGCTCATGTTTTCCTCATAAAGGAAACAGGTGGTCACGCATGCAAATACCTACACATGTGTATGTACACGGGTCAGTATGCACGCGCTCTGTGGGCCCCAGGCGCACAGCCCACCTGCCTCGCACCCTCCCGCCCAGGAACCTGCAGACGCGGCTGATGCAGGACCGGGCGGGAGATGCCCGAGACGAGCCCAGCACACGCCATCGCAGGCAGCAGGGAGGTGCCAGACCCGCCCCCATCGCTGGGGCGTCCGGGGGACCCAGGAGCCCACCCCGAGGCTCCCCGAGGCCAGCGCTGGACAATTTCAGCAACGAAATAAAGTGGTGTTGGATGATAGCCCAGAGCACACCATAAACATCCGCGTCCACACGGACGAGAACGAACGGCACAAACGAATGGGGAGAAGAGCAAAGCTCCCGCCCAGGGTTCCGAGTCCTTCACGCAGGCGCGGGGTCTGGAGGGGGGTGCAGCCCCCAGCCCTGCCGTGTGGCCCAGCACAGCGACCTCCTTCCGGGAGGACGGCGTGGACAGGGATCACCGTCCAGGAGACCCTGACAGACGTCGGCCCCACCAGGGCAGCATCGCAGAGACTAGCCGCGTCGGCAGTGTGAGCCCCGAGACCAGGAGGTGACGAGGGCCTGTCCCCGCGGGGCTCCCTCCCCACAGCCCTCCACCCCCTCCCCACGAGGAGAACGCCGGTCAGCCCCGCTGGGGGCACCGACCAAGAGCCCGACTGTCCTCCCCGGACCACCCAGGTCACCAGCGCGAGACCACCCAGCAGGTCCCGGCAGGAGGGGCCTGAGGGGACAGATGACCAACGCCGGTGGGGTCCTGGGACAGAAACAGGACATCAGGGGGAAATCTCAGGCAATATGAGTGACACACACTCCCGAGAATAATGACGTGTTGATATCGGTCCGCTGACTGTCACAGTGCACCACTCGACTGCAGATGACAGTGAGGGGGGAGGTGTGGGACCCGCGGGGACGCTCGGTGGCACCGTCTTCACAGTGATTCCGCAAATCTGAACAGGCCTGAAATGCAGAGTTCATGGACACGCAAAAGGCGGCTCTGACCACCTGGTGGAAGTGGAAGTGGGCAGTGCCTGCGGTGCTGACAGCCACCGGTGAGCTCCACCTCGTCACCCCAACCCCGGGCACCCGGACCTCTGCTTTCCCCATTTCATAGGAAACTGAGGCCAGAGGACGAGCGCTCGCCCGGGATTGCACCTGAGTGTGGCAGGAGCCCAGGTCTGTCCCCCACCCTACCCCCACTTCCCTGGCCCAGCCCTAGGCCCTCGGTGGCGACTGTGTCTCCAGCTCAGAGAGGAGGCAGGGCCACCAGAGCACGCTGGAGGCGCCAACCCCAGGAGTGACCTGGACCCCGGGCATCGCCGTGACGACGCTCCTCTGCTGGAACCGGCCAGCCTGGCGTCTATACTGGCCGCTCCATGCCCAGACCGCGGGGGCAGGGCACTCCTTGCGGGGGAGGGGCGGCGGCTGGAGACGCCCTCATTCACCGGTACGGCTGCCTGCCTCTGGGTGTCTCTAACAGAGAACACACGTGTTTGTTTCGGGGCCCCTGCAAGGACGGGCTGTCTCCAGGGCCCCGGACCCCACCCTGCAGCAGGCAAGCTCTAGGGCCCCGGGTGGCTGCGGCGTGCTACCAGCTCAGGCGAGGGGACCGCCTCGGGCCGCCTCCTCGTGGTGGGGAGCTGACAGCCCCCCGTGAGCGGCGCAGGGGCCCCAGCGGCCTGCGGCGGGATGTCCTGCAGCCGTGACTGCCCGTGCAGCAGCTCAGTGTCGCGGGCTGGGACACAGACCAGGAGCGGCCCCGGCGGGCGGGCTCCCGCAGCCTCCCTGCAGCCTCTGAGTCATCTTGCCGACTCGCGGCAGTGGCTGCCTTGTGAGCTGGAAACCGCCGTGGCGGGAGTGTTCACGCCTCGGAAACTGGCCGGCATTGTGGATCAGGGCTGCTCTCGCCAGCGCGGCTCTGTGCCCGCTGCCCTCCTGGACCCCGTCACACCTGACCCCGACCGGTTTACTGTGGCCCTGCGTGAAAGCTCAGAGACCTCCCCGTGCACTGAGGCCTCCACCGCCGCCCCTGCGGCGCAGACCTGAAGGTGTGCCTGCCAAGCAGGCGTGGCCTCGAGAACGGCCCCAGGACCCCTGGGTGCACCCCTGGTCAGAGCACGCCGGAGAAGGGCCCAAGAAGGTGGCCCACGCAAGTGCCACGGCCACAGGGCCAGGCTGGCGGACGCCCACCTGCTCACCCAGAGAGGGCTCCCGCCTCGCCTGGGTCCCGCCCCCCGCGGTCCCTGTCCCCTGCCCCGCCTCCCTCTCACTCCCTCTCTCTCAGCGCAGAGCTGTGGGACGATGACTCTGTGTTTCTTCTTCCTTCAAGCCAGTGTGTCACAGTGACTCACCCGCCCCAGTGCCCCCTGAGTGACTGGCGGAGTCTGCGCTGAGCTCGGGGCGAGGCTGACGCACAAGAGGAAGGCGCGGCCCTGCGGCTATTTGCAGTGCCGGGCGTGGGCCGCGCCACCCAGCTGTCGGCACTAAGCCCCGGGCCGCCTGACAGGTGCACGGGTTTAGTGGGGCGGGGTGAAGGGTCAGGCCTCAGCCGGGATCCCCGGGAGGGCAGAGGGCAAGAGGGGTGTCCGTGGCCCCGTGGAGTTTGGGGACAAAAAGCAAAAGTGTGACAGGGACCCTGGGGTCCCAGGGACAGGGACCCAGGGACAGGGACCCAAGCCACCCACGCGCCGAGTGCTGCTAGCAGCCGGGCGGATTCACAGGCGCGGCCCGGCGGGGGCCTCTCCCAGTAAAGGACGTCACCTGGACTGAGTTCCTGGGCACCGAGCAGTTGACATTCGACTCTAGCAACAACGCTGCTGCGTGTCTGGTCACAGCCCCACTGGATGCCCAGGAAGCTCGGCAGTACCCAGGCTGGCAGCGGCCCGGCCGTGGTGGCACGGGGACAGAGCCCAGCGTGTGGCCCTTCCTGCCTGGGAGTCCCTCGTGGTGCGTTGGAGCTCTCGGGCTCCTCCCCCGCCGGGGCTGGGTGACGGGCAAAGGGAAGAATGCCCGTTTGCTCCTGGCTGGCAGCTTCTGGGGAAGGAGACCAAATTCTGGGCTCAAATCAGGACTTCCACCCCGGGCTCGCCCCGACACCACCCTGCCCGGATGGGTGAACAGGGAGGAGGGAGAGGCTTCGCTGGAAAGAGGGTCTGTCCCGGGCAGACTGGCCCAGCCAGGGAGGCACCTCCCCTGAGATTCCGTCCAGACCACGGTTCTTCTGCGAGGATGCGAAGAAACCACAAACTGTTTGGAGTTGAATATGATGATTTAAAAAAAAGAAACCACAACCTGAGAGCTCTTTCAGTAGCAATGAAACTTTACAACGGTTCAAAACTGCCACAGACTCTTTTGGTTGGGATCCGGCTGCCGAAATCCAGGAACGCCTAAGGAAACACCACGTCTGTGACTCTGACTGGTCAGGTTCCAGCGCGGTCCCTCGTCCCGGGAACAGGGGCTCCCAGGAGTGGTGCCGCTCGGGCCGGTGGCCAGGACCCCTCTGCACCCCCAGGGAAGCCCCCACACCAGCCAGCTGTCTTCACCCCTCTCTCTCACACACGTGTGCTCGCACATGCACACATCGCTCACACACCACACACATCATTCACACGTGCTCACACGCAAAGCCATCGAAGTTGGAAAGGAAGAAGTAAAGCCATCTGTTTGCATATAGAAAACGCTAAAGATTCCATCAAAAAAAAAAAACCCGTTAGAACTAATAAATGAACTCAGCAAAGTGGCAGGATACAAAATCAACATGCAAAAATCAGTCGTTTCTATACCCTAATAATGAGCAACCAGAAAAAGAAAATTTAATAACATTCCATTTGCAATAGCATTAAAATGAATAAAATACTTAGAAATTAAACAAGGAGGTGAAAGATTTCTATCATTAGAACTACAAAATGTTGTTGAAAGAAATTAAAGAAGATATAGAAAGAAAGCCCATGCTCACGGATTAAAAGATGTAATATTAAGACGTTAATACTACCCAAAGCAATGCACAGATTCAGTGCAGTGCCCACCAAAACCCCAACAGTATTTTTTGAAGAAACAGAAAAATCCATCCCACATGGAATTTCAAAGGGATGCTGAATAGCAAAAACAATCCTGAAAGAAGAACAAAGCTGGAAGACTTTCACTTTTCTTATTTCAAAACTCACTACAAAGCTACGGCAATCAAAAGGGTGTGGCACTGGCACAAGGACAGGCACGGACCAACAGAAGCAAGCCCTCACGTACGTGGTGGGCTGGACTTTGGCCAGGGTGCAAAGACCACTCAGTGGGTGGAGGGACAGTCTTTTTAACAGACACTCTTCACATGCGGAAGAGTGAAGGTGAACCCTTACCTTACACCATATCCAAACATTAACTCAAAATGGATCAAAAATCTAAACATAAGACCAAACACTATAAAACTCTTAGAAGAAAACATAGGGACAAGTTTCATGACACTGGATTTGTAAGTGATTGTTTGGACACCAAAAGCACAGCCAACAAAAGGAAAAACAGATAACCTGTACTCCAGCAAAATTCAAAACTTTTGTGCATCAAAAATCACAATCAGGGGCCGGGCGCAGTGGCTCACGCCTGTAATCCTAGCACTCTGGGAGGCCGAGGTGGGAGGATTGCTCGAGGTCAGGAGTTCGAAACCAGCCTGAGCAAGAATGAGACCCCGTCTCTACCATAAATAGAAAGAAATTAATTGGCCAACTAATATATATATAGAAAAAATTAGCCAGGCATGGTGGCACATGCTTGTAGTCCCAGCTAGTTGGGAGGCTGAGGCAGCAGGATTGCTTGAGCCCAGGAGTTTGAGGTTGCTGTGAGCTAGGCTGACGCCATGGCACTCACTCTAGCCTGGGCAACAAAGTGAGACTCTGTCTCACAAAAAACAAACAAACAAACAAACAAACAAACAAAAACCCCCACAATCAACAAAGTGCAAGCCAATCCGTGGCATGGGAGAACACATTTGCAAATCGTATCTGGTAAGAATCCACAGTACATAGAGAACTCCTAAAATGCAACAACAACGAGAGAAACAATCTGATTCAGACCCGGGCAGAGGACTTGAATAGACATTTCTCCAAAGAAGACACACAAATGACCGACATGCGCGTGAAAAGAGGCTCCGCGTCACCAACCATTCGAAGCCACGGTGAGAGAGCCCCTGGCGCCCACGGGGGGTGGCTACTACGAGAAAAACAGAAAATCACAAGTGCGGAGAGCCACGTGGGGAAACTGGCTGTTGGTGGGAATATGAAGGACGCACCTGCTGTGGGGACAGTCTAGCAGCTCCTCACACCAAACACGGAATCAACACAGGACGCAACCCGCCCGCTTCCGGGTCTGCACCCGAAAGAACGGAGAGAGACGTTTGCGCGCCATGCTCACGGCAGCGCGCTCGTGATAGCCACGGTGGACGCAGCCCCGCGCCCGCCGGTGGGTGAAGAGCTAGCAGGAGGCGGCACATGCAGCCGATGGAAGGTACTCACCTCACAGAGAGAGGAAATTCTGACACACGCTGCAACACGGATGAACGCTGAGGACTTCATAAGCCAGTGGCAAAAGCACAAATGGTGCATAGTGCCACTGGCGTGCGGTCCCTGGAGTGGTCAGACTCGCAGAGACAGAAGGAAAGGCGGGTGCCAGAGGCTGGTGGGGATTAACGTTTATTAGGGCCAGAATTTCAGTTTGGGAAGGTGAGAAAGTTCTGCAGATGGACGGTGGTGACGGTTGCGTGACACCGTGATGTGCCCAGTGCCCCTGAACTGTGCACTGGAGATGGCAAATCGTCCTATTGCACGTTATGTATATTTTACCACGATAAAATCAAAGACACGAAGGCTCAGCAGATGAACGGGAAGCTCGAGCGGCCGCAGCTGGCGGGGCGTGCCCTGGGGTCTGGAGCAGGGCTGGGGCGGGCGGCATGTCTCAGCTGACCAGGCGCAGCCGTAGTGCAGGACACGGGGACGGTCCCGGCTCCGGCGTCCGGGCCGCAGGGCCTCTGTCCCCCCCACAGGGAGTGCCGCTCGCCCTGCGGGATTGAATGCGCACCTGCCTCTCACCCCTGGTCCTGTGACCGCCGGCAAAGGGTTCGCGGGCGTTGAGCTGTGGCCTCGTCACCTCCGTGGGGCTCTCTTTGGCCGTGGGGACGGTTCCCAAGTTCCAGAGTCATCCATCAGCTGCCGGGAACACTCCACAGTCCTGAGTCAGCCCCGTGGAGTCAGAGAAGCGTGAAAAGGCACCGGAGCTAGGGCGGCCTGGGGACAGGAGAGCTTTCTGGAACACGGGGCAGAAAGGAGCCCGGGCCTCCCAGGCACAGCCGCTGGGCCAGGCGAGGCCCAGAAGCAGCCCAGACACTTCCTGACACCCTGACACCCAGCGCCGGGACACGGGGCCAGAGGAGACCCAGCTGGGGCTGGTTCCAGCACCTCTGAGCTCCTGGGCAGGGACAGTACGTGGGCCTCCGGGGTGACTTCGGTCCCCAACACCCAGGCTCGCAGGCTGGGCTCCAAGAACCAGCCTGTGGGGGTCACCTTGGAGGTTACTGGTTCACACTCTCACGTGGTGGATTAACACCCGCTGCCGTGGCAAACCTCACTTAAGTGCGTGTGCTGTGCTCGCCTTGGGACCCTAGCTAGCGAGAGAACAATACATGATTTAATACACACACACACACACACATACACACACACACGCACATACATTGTTGACCCTTGAACAACGCGGGTTTGAACATGCGAGTCCACTGACACACGGAATGCTTTCCAGCCAGTACGGAATTCCCAGGACTCAGAACCTGCACGCAGAGGGCCGCCTTGCACACGTGGGCTCGCCGGGGCCGACTGCAGCGTCCGGGGCTCCTGAAGCCAGTCCCCGAGTACACGGAGGGATGGCGCGTGCACACACACACACACGTACACTGCGGGGTGTGCAAACAGTTTGTGATGATCAGGGTGCCTGACCAGAAGGATTCCGGCCTGGGAGACAAGGCACCTACCCGCAGAGAACCAGGAAGGGCGGTGGGACGCGGGCCCAGCCTGCCGGCACAGGGCCTGGCAGGGCGGCCGCGAGGCCGTGGCGGCTGCCGTCCAGATACGAGGCGCTATTCTTGGCGGCCGCATGTTCTCACTGGCCGGAGCCTGGGGGGCAGCTCCGGACACGGCCAGGCCTGGGGGAGGGAGGCACGGCGGCATTGTGGGAGAGTAGACGGAATGCCACCAGCCGGTCTGACGCAGGGCGAGCCCGCAGGGACAGGTGGCCCTGCCCCTGCCAGGCAGTGAGCCTCCCCGCCCTGCCTCCCGCCCACTGAACCGCAGGAATGTTCTGGGGACTGCAAGGGGCACGCTGCCCACCTGCGGCCTCTGTCCTGGGGCGCCACCCTGCCGTGCTCCGCCCTCCCCCGCAGCAGGGCCCGAGGGCACGTGGCCTGTCCAGGGGCCCCGGAGGGCCAGACCCCCTCCGAGGTCTGCACTGGCAGCAGCATCTGTCCTTGCAAGAGGGGCGGAAGCTAGAAAGCCCGCCTCCCTGCACTTGTGAGCCACAGAGGACTTCAGACTCCGCCACAGGGAGTGAGCCTCCACCCCCATAAGCCCTGCCCTGGCCGCCCGCCACGGCGCCCCGTGGCCCCGTCTGAGGGTGTCCGACCGCCAGGTTCGCTGTGGGGAATGGTGCTGGAGCCACAGCTCCCCAGGGGAGGGTGTCCCCTTAGCCACGGCTTTGCTCTCCGAGTTTCAGGTACCTGGGTCGATGCTGGTCCAAAAACATTAGGTGGAAAATTCCAAAAATAAATGATTAGTCCATTTTCAGTCGCTCAGGCCCCTGAGCAGCAGGGCGAAGCCTCCCGCCGCCCCGCCCTGCCTGGGACGCGAACCCGCCCTTGTCGGGCGCCTCCGCGCCACCCCCTCGACCTGCCCGCTCTTACTCGGTGGCTGTCCTGGTGTCGCAGGGCTCACGTCCAGGTCACCCTTATTTACTTAACAACGGCCCCAAGCACAAGAGTAGTGACGCTGGCAGACTGCTGTTTTGTTGTTAATCTCCGACTGTGCCTAGTTATAAAGGAAACTTTATCATAGGCGTGTATGTGTAGGAAAAAGCACAGGCTACTCGGGGTTCAGTGCTATCCGAGGTCTCAGGCGTCTGCTGGGGTCTTGGAACACATCCCGGTGCATGGGGGGCCCTGCTGTACCCAGGCCGATGCTGTTCATTTGTCATTTAGTGACTCACAGGGCCCAGAGTGGGGGTGGGGGTTGCACAGCCTGGACAGGGACATGCCTGGCCTAGGGCTCCTGTCACCCACACACGTCATGTGGCCCCAGGCCTGTGTCTCTTGCAGGCTCAGAACCAGGGAATCCAGGTAGGCAGTACCAGGAGAAGAGAGGGACAAGAGCAACCCCACGAGAAGGGCCAGACTGCTCCTCCCTGGAGCCCAGGCCAGATGGGGCTGGGGGGACACTGCCCGGAGTGAGGGTTTGGGTGAGATTCAAAAGGCCCCTGCCAGAAGTTGGAAGACCTTGTGCAAGCAGTGCCTAAGGACCATGTGGGGCATTTGCAGGGCTGGGGGTAGAGGCAAAGCTGCCTGGGTCCAGGGGTGAGGGCCACGCCCACCCACAAGGCATCTGCCCACTGCTGCCCCACGGCCAGAGAGCAGCCTGGCTCAGATGGTGCCAGCGTGCATGCACACTGCTGGAGCATGGCCTCTGCATGTGTTCAACATGACATACCCACTATGGTGCCAGTGTTCATGCCCACTGCTGGAACATGACCTCTGCATGTGTGTTCAACATGACATACCCACTATGGTGCCAGTGTTCATGCCCACTGCTGGAACATGGCCTCTGCATGTGTGTTCAACATGACATGCCACTATGGTGCCAGTGTGCATGCCCACTGCTGGAGCATGGCCTCTGCGTATGTGTTCAACATGACATGCCACTATGGTGCCAGCGTGCATGCCCACTGCTGGAACATGGCCTCTGCATGTGTGTTCAACATGACATACCCACTATGGTGCCAGTGTTCATGCCCACTGCTGGAACATGGCCTCTGCATGTGTGTTCAACATGACATGCCACTATGGTGCCAGTGTGCATGCCCACTGCTGGAGCATGGCCTCTGCGTATGTGTTCAACATGACATGCCACTATGGTGCCAGCGTGCATGCCCACTGCTGGAGCATGGCCTCTGCATGTGTGTTCAACATGACATGCCACTATGGTGCCAGCGTGCATGCCCACTGCTGGAGCATGGCCTCTGCGTATGTGTTCAACATGACATGCCACTATGGTGCCAGCGTGCATGCCCACTGCTGGAGCATGGCCTCTGCATGTGTTCAACATGACATGCCCACTATGGTGCCAGCGTGCATGTCCACTGCTGGAGCATGGCCTCTGCATGTGTTCAACATGACATGCCCACTATGGTGCCAGCGTGCATGCCCACTGCTGGAGCATGGCCTCTGCATGTGTTCAACATGACATGCCCACTATGGTGCCAGCGTGCATGCCCACTGCTGGAACATGGCCTCTGCATGTGTGTTCAACATGACATGCCACTATGGTGCCAGTGTGCATGCCCACTGCTGGAACATGGCCTCTGCATGTGTGTTCAACATGACATGCCACTATGGTGCCAGTGTGCATGCATACTGCTGGAACATGGCCTCTGCATGCATGTTCAGCATGACATTTCCATGAATTTGGAATGAATAAACGCGCCCAACCGGGGCCCTGGAAGACGCCAAGCCTGCGCAAGGCTGACAGGGGGAGGCTGACCTGGAGCACGTGGACGTGAGGGCAATTTGGTGCCGTGACAGTTGTGTGTCCAAGTTCAGCTTCTAGCACTGCCCAGTCCGTGACCCTGCGCAAGTGCTCAGCCTCTCTGGCACAGTTACATTGCTCCATGGGACATGCCAGGCACCGTTCCAGGAGTGTCCCAAGTACAAGCCCACGCCAGCCTCACCACAAACCCGCCAGGAGGGCACGGCCGGCATCTCCACCGTGCGAATGAGAAAGTGCGACTCGAGTGCCCAGCAAGGGGGGAAACGGGAGCCCCATGGGGGGTCGTGGGGGCCCTGAGCACACATGCACTGTGGCACGAGGTGCTAGGTGCCAGAAAGGCTCCGTCTGCGTGGCCACATTGCAGGGGCTGCATCCCCGCTCGTGGGTGGGGCTACCAGCGGGAGCCTCTCCCTGCGAGGCCCCTGGCCCATCTCCCGGGGTCTCACCCGTCTCCCCGGGTCTCGCCCGGTCAGCGTGGGGGCCCAGGAAGGGCTGCTCTCCTGGTGCCCGGGGCGGTGGATGAGTTTCCGCTGGCCGTCGCTCTCAGTGAGGGTCCCCTGGCTTAGATGAGAGCTTCCAGGGGGGCAAACCCACTGCTGCTCACTGGCACTCCCCACTCCTCCCTGGAGTACCTCTGGGGCAGGCTGATTTCCAGAACCTTCTGAGGGTGGGACCTGGAACCAAGATCTTTCAAAGAGCAGGAAAACCTTGGCCCGAGGGTGGGGCTTTCCTTCTGTTCCCAAAGCCCTGGTGGCCGGACTTGTTTGGATCTTCAAAGCGAGTGGGTCAGCCAGCAGCCCCGCCCGCCACAGTCCTTGCTCGGCCCCATGCTCGGCCCGCGTGTGACAACGGCTCCCTCTGCTCAGGGGGGAAACTGCCGGATGGCCACTCCCTACCCCAGGGCCCACGCGGTTGCCAAGTGACTCGACACATCCGAGGGGTCGGAGTGACTCCGGACACGCGCCCTGGGCAGGTCCACCTGCAGCCCCTGGAGCAAGTGCCGGCTGACGGGCCCCAGGCCGGGTCCCAGCCCCGCACCGGCTCAGCAGGCGGCGTGGCTTAAATCCCTCCCCAGGCGCCTGGCCCGGGAGCACCCGCAGAGCGCCGTCTCCCGCGTGCAAGTTCAGCCCACGTCACAGCCAGGCCTCCCTTAATGAGCATGTCACCACAGTCCGGCTGCGTCTCGGGGCCGAAGGTGACGCGGAGGCCCAGCAAGGGCAGAGACAGGAAGCCCGTGGGAGGTCGTGGGGGGATGGACCCCATGCCACACAACCAAAGCCACCGACCCTGTACCTCTCTGCCCACCACGGCAGCTCCTTCCCCCTGGTTGCACGCAGGGACTCGCTGGCCCCAGGACGCAGGCAGGGAGCGGGGAAATGTTTAGCTGGGCTTTCGCTGGGGCGGTGGCCCGTTTCCTGTGGGAGACGACCACGGTGGCCCCGCGTCTCGCAAACGGCCATTCCTCGGCACCTGGCCCCGGGAGGCCCTGGGGGAGCCTCCCCACAGCCCCACTGACCTTCAGCCCTCTGTGCCCCATCCCACCCCGGCGTGGTCCCCGGCCCAGTGGCAGGCTCTCCCCGGGGGCATCTCGCCGCTCTAGGAAATGACGTGACAGGACTCCAGCCCTGTCACAGGGAGCGTGCCCGGCCCAGGAAAGAACCGCTCCACCCGTGTCCCAGCACACGCCTGCACACGCACAGAGCCAGGCTCTCAGACGGCCCTGCGGGTGACTCCAGGGCAGGAGCGGGGCTGCCCTGAGCCCCCGCCCGCTCCCACCAGCCCCGCAAGCAGAGGGCAGCCCCCCACCACCACTCCACTGGGACAGTGGCCCCCGGGGTCTGACCCCCAAGAGCGTCCGGGGTCCAGGCCGGGGCAGGGGTTCTTGGTGACAGGGACGGTCGTGGCTGCTGACTGTGCGGAGCCTCCAGTCCCGAGAGGCAGGTGCTACGTTAATTGTCTCACAGTTCTGCAGGTCAGAAGGCCAAGGTCAAGGTGTTGTCAGAAGTGGTCCCTCTGCGGGCCGGGCGGGGGTTCCGCTCCAGGCCTGTCCCCTGGCTTGTGGTGGCGGCCGCCAACCGTTGGCGGTCTTTGCTTTGTGGAAGCGTCACCCCCATCCCTGCCGTCATCCTCCCGTACATGTCTCCTCCACGTGTGCGTGACGGCCTCTCGTCCCAACTTCCCCTTTTGATGGGGACACCGGTCGGACCTACTCGAGTAGGACCCCCCTTAACTCGCTTACACCTGCAAGGACCCTCTTTCCAAAAAGGCCACATTCATAGGTACTGGGGGGTTGGGACTGCAGTATGAGGCCAGGTGCGGTGGCTCACACCTGTAGTCCTAGCACTCTGAGAGGCTGAGGCGGGCGGATCGCTCGAGGTCAGGAGTTTGAGACCAGCCTGAGCAAGAGCGAGACCCCGTCTCTACTAAAAATAGAAAGAAGTTAGCTGGACTTCTTTCTAAAACTAAAAATATATACAGAAAAAACTAGCCAGGCATGGTGGCACATGCCTATAGTCCCAGCTACTCGGGAGGCTGAGGCAGGAGGATCGCTTGAGCCCAGGAGTTTGAAGTTGCTGTGAGCTAGGCTGACGCCTCTGCACTCACTCTAGCCTGGGCAACAGAGCGAGACTCTGCCTCAAAAAAAACAAAAGACTTCAGTATGTTTTGGGGGAATATGGCTCAACCCATGACAAGTAAATAAGTTCCCAAGTAAATATGTAACTTCAGATTGTGATAAGTGCTTTGGAGAAAAAAGCAAGAATTCATCAAAGCGACCTCGCACGTTTTAAAACATTAGGACTGCGCCGTGGGGAGGCTGCCCTCTGCTGCTTCCCGCCCCGCCCGGCCTTTGCGCCTGCGCGGGAGCATCTCGCCGGGACGGGGGTTTCCCGCCTGCTGCCCACGCAGCCCCCGCTGGCCCTGCTGCTTCTGGGGCCTCGTGGGAGCGCCAGGAGCCCAGGCAGCCCCGGCAGGGGGTGGCTAACCAGGCACACACCGCCTCCCAGGGCGGGAAGGGCAGCCTTGCAGGGCTACAACCCTGCACTCGCCCTGCGGTGGGGCTTGGCAGCGGAGCCTCGGCTTGGCGGCCACCTTAGGCTGGCGCACGGGGACCAAGGAGACACACACACAGCCAAAGTCATCTTTGTCCTCAGTCTCGAAGCTTCTTGCCTAAATCACCCGCACGCCCGCTAGGAGACTCCCACACGTTTTGTCTGTGCGAGGGCGACCAGGAAGTTCGGGGTTTGTGGGGCCAGGGGGCAGGGGAGCCTCCTGGGACGGCTCCTGCCCCGGCAGGCCGCGGCGCTGCAGGGAGCGGTCAGCTCTCGCCAGGCCGGGGCCTCGGGGACACTGCCCAGCTGCTGAGATCTCCTGCTGAGGCGCCTTCCGTGACCTGAGCTTAGGAACGGCCGTTCCCGTGGCCGCCACCTCCCTCCGAGCAGCCTGCTCTGGGGAGCGGCACCTTGTCTTTCTAAATTCACGTGGAAGGTGAGTTCCAAAGCGCCGGCTGCCGGCAAGGAAACGGATCTCACATCTCCTCTCCAAGCTGGAGAAAGCGCGGCTCAGCGTTGCCACGGGAGCACAGGGCTCCAGAACAGCGTGCCGGGCCCTCCGCCGAGACAGACGTGCGGCCGTCTACACTGGCGCAGGAGAGGCGAGGGGCGGGAGGGGCTGGGCAGGCGCTGGCGTGAACTACTTGAGGATCCGGACCCACCCTGGCTGAGCGACCCTGACCTGGCGCCTCACAGCCATGTGTGAAGCTGGGCCCAGGACAGGAAGCAAAGCAGTGACACGGGATGACAGTGAGCCCCGGAGGCCAGGCCGCCTCCCCCAGGAGGGCAGAGCGGGCAAGAGGGAAAGCCCCGCAGCCTCTGGGGGCGGGCGGAGCTCTCCACCAACATTCTCCGGCATCCCGACCACCAAAAGCAGTGGAACTTTGCAGAAAATGTGCGTGTACGCTCTATATACACACAAGCTTAGTGTATTAGGGATCTCACACGTTCATGGTTTTTGTTGTCTTATTTCCATACATTTTAAACAACTCTATCGAGGTACAATTGATATACAATCACTTGCACAGTGTGCAGTTTGACACGCCTTGACACACACATGGTGGAAGGACCTCCACCACCGACACAGCAGCAAATCCACCACCCCAAAGGCTCCTCCAGGCCTCTGTGGTCCCCTCCTGCCTCTCCTCCAGCCCCACCCCGCGCCCCTGGCCAAACCAGACACCTACAGCATACCCTCTGCCACCATGGTCGAGTCTGCATCTTCTAGAATGTGCAAATGGAAGCATTCAGCGTGTTCCCTTTTCACCTGGCTCCTTCCACTCAGCAGCACCCCCTCGACCCACCCATGGAGCCTGCCTAGGAGTCCAGTCCCCTCCCCTCCAGTGCACGTGGTCACCCAGCCGTCTTTGATGGACTCTTGCTCTGTTTCCACTTCGGGGCTATGACAAGTAAAGCTGCTGTGAACATCCATGCACAGGTCTTTGTATGGACCAATACCTTCATTTCTCTAGGACCGGAATAGCTGGGTCATATGGCAGGCGTAGGTTTAACTTTTAAAGAAACTTCCTAACGGTTTTCTAAAGTGGTCGTATCAATCTATAGTCCCAGCAGCACAGTGTGAGGGTTCCAGTTGATCCAAAACCTCGTGAACACTTAGAACAATGAGTCTTCTAGACTTCTGCAGTCCGAATTAGCGCACATCAGTACCTCGCTGTGCTTTTAATTTGCATTTCCCTGAGGACTGACGATATTGAACATACCTGCTTCTGCATCATCCATGTATCTTTGATAAATGTCAAATTTTATGTGCATTTTAAAAATTGGGTTATTTGTTTTCCTGTTTGGGGACTTGGGGAGTTCTTTATATGTTCTGGAATCAAGGCCCTTGTCATATACACGCTTTGCAGAAATCTTCTAATCTGTGGCTTGTCTTTTCGACGTCTTAACAGTGTCTTTCGAAGAGCAAAAAGCTCTTGATTTTGATGAATTCCAATTTATCACTTTTTCTTTTATGGTTTGCACTTTTGCTGTTGTATCTAAGGAAATGTTTTCCGAACTCCAGTTTACAAAGACTTTCTCCTGTGTTTTCTTCTAGAAATCATATAGCGTTAGGTTATATATCTAGGTATGTGATCTATTTTAATGTTTTGTAAGTAATGAGCAGTGCTCCTTTCTGCACTATTGATACCCGATTGTCCCTGCTCTATTTGTGGAAGAGACTGCCCTTTCTCCACTGAATTGCCTTTGCTGGAAATTTGCCCACATATTTGTGGGTCTGTTTCTAGACTCACTATTCTGTTCTGTTGGTAGACTGTCCACCCTAACGTCAATACCACACTTTTGATTATGGTGGCTTCATAACAAGTCTTGAAATCAGGCAGTGTGAGCCTCCAAATTTGTGCTCCCCTATCAGACTTTATTGGTTATTTATGGCCCTTGACATTTCCATATGAACTTGAGGATCATTTTAATGTCGACAAAAGAAGCTGGTAGGATTTTGACTGTTTTGCTTTGAATGGGAAGAGAATTCACATATGAACAATATTGTATCTTCCAATCCAGGAACACGGTATATCTAGCTCTATTTATTTAATTCATCTTCAATTTCCCTAAGAAATGTTTTACAATTTTCAGTCAGGACTTGCACACTTTTTAAAGATTTATCCCTAGGTATTTCATATTGGTTGATGGCGTTTTTTATTTCAAGTTTGAATTGTTGCTAGTAAACAGAACACAATTTATTTGTGTACATTAATCTTGCACTACTAGCCTTGCTAAATTTGCTAGGCATAGAAGCTTTTCTGCACGTCTTCATGAGATCTTCGACATGATGAGTCTCGTCATTTATGCATAAAGACCTCCCTCTCCATCCTGGAGCCTCTCATTGCTTTTCTTTTTCTTGCCTGTGACCCTGGGTGGGACACAGGACGACGTTGAATCAAAGTGGTGAGGACAGACATTCTCATTCCTGTGTTGTCCCTGAACTCGGAGGGCGCTATGGGCTGAACTGTGTCCCCTTAGCAGCCCCTGCGGAAGTCCTCACCCCCAGTGCCTGCGACTGTGACCTGATTTGGAGATAAGGTCATTGCAAGTGTGATTAGTTAAGACGAGGTCATGCTGGCGTTAGGTGGGCCCCTAATGGGATGTGACTGGTGTCCTTATAAAAAGGAGCCATTTGGACACAAACGCAAACACACAGAGAACGCCAAGTGAAGAAGAAGCAGAGACTGGGGCGATGCTCCAAGGCAAGGCAACACCAAAGGTCACCGGCACCCCCAGAAGCTGGAGGCCTGGGACGGACTCCCCCTCACAGCCCCTGAAGGAACCAACTTTTTTTTTTTTTTTTGAGCCAGAGTCTCACTCTGTTGCCCAGGCCATCAGCCTAGTTCACAGCAACCTCAGCCTCCTGGGCTCAAGCAATCCTCCTGCCTCAGCCTCCTGAGTAGCTGGGACCACAGGCATGTGCCACCCACCATGCCCGGCTAATTTTTTCTGTATATTTTTAGTTGGCCAATTAATTTCTTTCTATTTATAGTAGAGACAGGGTCTCGATCTTGCTCAGGCTGGTCTCGAACCCCTGACCTTGAGTGACCTGCCCGCCTCAGCCTCTCAGAGTGCTAGGATTACAGGCGTGAGCCAAAGGGCTGCTTTTTCAGGGCTTCCTGAGGCCTCATCTCTGCCTACCCAGCCCCACCCATCCTGCTCCACTCCTGACACACAAGCCTGACTGCAGGGACCTGAGGACGCAG